TGAACTAACATTAGCTTTTTTTTAAATACAATTGTAAAACTTTGCTATCTAATAAGTAAACAAAATAAGCTCACGAGGCTATTGACTTCGTCAACATAGAACTCGACTATACATAAATTCGGACAAAAGAGAAAAAAAATTTATAAGTTTAACTTCTTCTTTTCGATGCTTGAAATCCGTCTTCTGTTTTGGCATATTGGTCCCAAGTTAGAGGTTTCATGGACGTCAATTCTTCCCTTACTGACCTCCGAGTGTCGTCCACATGAGTTTTTCTTTTGCGTCCTCTACATGCTGGCCTCTTGGCGGAGTAATCGTCTGGTTGTTGGCATTTCCGTTTTTCCCTGGGACGGCTGGTCTTGACGTCCTCCGGTCTGGAGACCTTCTTGAATTTCTTCTGTTCCTGATATTTTTGTTCCTCCTGTTGCCGTTTCAGTTTCCGGAACGGCGGCCTTGCTGGCACCTGACTCTGTGGCCGTGTGCGCGCTCTCCTTGATGTATAATTTCTCCTGCGATCCGTTGTAGGTGGTGTTTTGCTCTTTACCACGGTTTCTTTACGCGGTGCATCTGTATTCTTGTTTTTTCTTAACGCTGGAGTTTGAAAGTTATTTTTCTTTTTGATACCGACGTCCGGGTTGGAGAAGGGCTAGGTCTCTCTTCAGTTCTCTGCTTCTTGGGTGGTGGAATAGTTGTTGTTATTTCTGGACCTTCTACTTCGTTTAGACTTGAGTCTGCAAGAAACTTTTAAGGATTTCAAAATCATTTGGATTATAGTATTTTTCACCTGGTCGGGACTTGCTTTACAGATTTCCCCTCTCTCGTTCTTAAGATATAATACTACTCCTTTGATTTCCTGAATTACATAGGGACCTTCAAATTTTGGAGCTAACTTTGCCTTAAAATTGTCTGGGGCACTTGATAAAGAAAATTTCCGCTTCAATACTTTATCCCCAACTTTAAAATCTGCTTCACGGCGTTTTCTATCATAATATACTTTCTGCTTATTTCTTGCCGTATCCGAGCTTTTAAGCGCCTGATCAATAAGCTTTTGCACATCTTTTTGTTTAAACTCTTGCTCTCTTTGTTGCACAAAGAATAATTTATCTACAGGCGTAATTAATTTTCGGCCTAAAAAATTTCTTCTGGGGTTTTTCCCGTAGTGTCGTGATTTTGCGTTCTTAAAGCATAAGCTAATTCATTTATGTAGCCATCCCAGCGCTTGTGATGTGTGCTCACGTAACTGCGATTATTTTTACTATGTTTTTATTCACTCTTTCTGCTATGTTTGCCTGTGGTCTATACGGAACCATTTTGATATGGCGTATGCCAAGTCCATGCATATGTTTTCAATATTTGACTAATGAATTGTTTTCCGTTATCGCTAATGACTTTTATCGGTGCACCGTATTTTAAAATGTATCTGTGTAAGAATGCATCTGCGACTGTTTTGGCTGACGCGCGTTTAAGTGGAACAATTTTGTCCATTTTGAAAAATGATCTACTATTACTAAAAGAAAACGATTTTTATTTAACTCGCTCTGGGAAAAGGGACCAAGAAGATCTATGCCTAAAATTTCATTCGGAAATGTAGCGCGAATGCTATTTAAGTACCCGGCCGGGCTGTAATTAATATCATTTATTAACTGACATTGATTGCAGGACCTGACATACGCCGTTACTATTTTGTATAATTGCGGGAAATATACCGCCTCGCGTACCCTTTTTAAAGTCTTTCTGACCCCTAAATGGCCGCTGTTTTCGCGTCGTGTAATTCCTTCAAAATGCTTAATTGAAGCGAGGCTGGGATGAACTGGTTTGTACTCAAGATTTTCGTTTGTTGTTTTCGTATAAAAATAATAAATTATCTATTATTCATAGTTTCTGCTCTATTTCTTATCGCATCGATGTCTGTGTGCTCAAAGCTTTCGCGGGACTTTCAAATATGCATAGATATTTCCAAATTCAGGATCAGCTTTCAGTTCAGTAATAATCGTATCTCTAGAATCTAAAATTTTTAACTTATCTTATTTAATAAATAAGATAATTTTTTTTAACTAATTAATATAATATAATTAGTTATATTATATTAATTAGTTATTATATTAATTAGCCCCACACAACCCAAAGGGCATGCGTAAAAATGCATAAGTGCCCGATTTTGTTATAAACGCGGTTTTATGTATGTCTTCGGGTCTCATATCTATTTGATAGTAGCCAGACGTTAAGTCCAAAGTAGACATGTATCTTGTCGATTTGATCTGTCTAATGATCTCGTCTATAACCGGCAAAGGGTAAACTGGAAATTTAGTAATACTATTTAGTTTTCTGTAATCAATAGCAAACCTCCAAGCCCTTTTATCCGAAGGAGGAAACTCGTTCTTTTTCCTACATAGGACGACTGGACTCGCGTACTTACTATTTATGGGCGTTATTATTTTATTCTTTAACATCTCCTGAATATGTTCTTCGATGATTACGTCTTTTTGTTTGTCGTACCGATAAGGTTTAGTCCTACAAGGTTTTTCGGCATTTAATTGAATCTTGTGCGTGACTATTTGACAATTTCCTGGTTTTTCTGAAAACAAATTAGAAAAATTACTCACCACTTGCTGTATTGCTTCCCTTTCATGGTCATTCAGATGGCTAAGGTCCACTTGCGGTGTCTCCACAGGTTCCACCACCCTCTGGTCCATCTCCAACACCACGGAACTGTCTTTAAAATTTAATTTGGCCCTCGCGGCCCTTAAAAACTGCATACCTAAAATAAGAGGATTTTGCAGATTTTTCACTATAAAAATTAATACTTTGAGGCTTTCGTCTTTTACCTGTAAGTTTAATGATAATTTCCCGATGCAGTGACATGTTTTTCCTTGCGCCGCTATAATTTCCGTATTTTTGGTTTTAAATAATCGTACCCTATAAAAATTCTTTTTGAAGAAATTTTCACTCATAAAATTTCCTTCTGCTCCTGTATCGATGAGGGCTTCTACTGGTACATCGCCAACCAGGACTTGTATAATTGGTAGCTGTGAGTTTTTTACGATGACCGTATTTAAATGTCTATTTGAGGGTTTTTTTAAAACTTCCGGGGTCTGGACCCTCCCTTTCACAGGCCCCTCTACTCGTTTAAAGCTTTCCTTTCAATCTGTGCCTTCTGGGTACGAAGATGTTTATTTTCAAATTTTCTTTTTGGACCTTGACCTTCGAGTTTCGATGAGTTAGCTTGATAGCTCTGGCCCCCATAAGAGCGATTTCCATTTCTGGTTTCCTCATTTGAAGATTTCCTTCGGGTACTTTGAGAATACGTTGCCCCTCTAGTTTTTTTCGCTATTCTGCGATTTTGAAACTTCACGCCAATTCGAAGAGCTCCTGCAATGTGCTTGGGTTTTCTAATTTCAAAGTAGTCTTGAACAGCGGGTAACAATCTTGGTAAGATTATTTCAATAATCTCCGCATCGGGTTTCTTCCCATACAGCATATCCGTCAGCTTAATTTTTCGTAGAATAAAGTCCGTCAATTCTGCTATATCCCGTTGATAGAAACTATATGGTTCGGCTTCCAGCCTTGCGCGATCTTTCACTATGGGGAAGGCCTTTACTAACGATTTTTTGAAATTTTCAAATGTATATGTCTGGCTTCCAAATTCCCCTAATAAAAATTTGCCTATATTTTTTCCACCATAGCGCGGCCCTGTCCTCTTATGGTGCGGATGTGGCGATGGCAACTTATTTGTCTTTCAGGAACAGGGTAGAGCTGGAAAGTGGTTTTCTAGGACCTTCTAAGAAATATTCGCCACCGAATTTTTTTCCGTCGAAATTGGACGTTTGGCTTGATTGACGCTCTCAAATTCGTCTGGACCAGGTATCCTAAATCCTTCCAATTGGCTTGCCAGTTCTCTTGGTGTTGTCCAGAAACTTCCGTCCAATTTTCGGCCATTTCAGTTCGATAAGTGTTTCGGGCGCCAATGTAAGCGTTGCGCGCTCCAACTTGCACGCAACCAAGAGGTGACTGTGAAAACTGGATAAAAGACAGAGTCTTGTTAAGAGTTTAAGTCCCTTTTTATTCAACGTAATAAATTACAAGTGCGTGCTCTTGACGCTCACAAACTGCGCCAACTCGGCGGTCAAATAAAATAATAACCTGAAAAGAAAACTAAAGACAAGACTCTAACTACGAGGCTCTCTAAAAGTAACTAACTCACCGCGTTTTACAATACCGCTGCTAATTCAGCAAACTTGAAGATCACTTGAACGATTAACACTACTTCCAGGCAAGCACACAGGCCGAAACGCGGGGTTCTTCAATTTCTGGCCAACTACCTCCGCGCTCGTGAAGTAAGAATGTCACACCTCGAACTCGTTTCCTTTCTATTTAAATCAGAATACTTTCGCTGATAATTTGAATCCTTGCGCGTTCTACTAAAATTTACATACTCTGGCATTGGCTGTTCCAGGGGAAAGTAAGGCTTGACAGGAAAGATAGTTTAAACTTAAAATAAATGTTAGTTAAAATAAATATAAACCCTACAACACAATTAGAAGGTCTGGAAGATTCACTTATACAGCAAAATTGACTAAGCCTCAGTTACTGCAGAGACACAAAATAGAGCGTTTGAACTTTGTCCAGAAAGTAATGACCTGGGGTAACCAATAGATAGAAATTGTTTTTTCTGGCGACAAAAAATGGAATTTGGATGGACCAGATGGCAGGAATTTGTACTGGCATGATATAAGAAATGAAAAAGAAATATTCTCCAAGCGCCAATTAGGTGGAGGGTCTGTCATGACTTGGGGCTGTTTTGCTTACAATGGTGTGGGCTCAATTGCATTCGTTTCAGATAGAATGAATTCACAAGGATACCAAAATGTCCTAACAAATCTTCTTTTGTCAAATGCTGAATGTCTTGCTGGAGAAAATTGGAAATATCTGCAAGACAATGCATCGATCCATTCGAGTAACAGCACAAAAAATTGGTTCCAATTCAACAATGTTGAAACTGTGAAATGTCAGCTAGATCACTTGACCTCAACCCAATCGAGAACCTTTGGGGTGACTTAGCAAGAAGAGTTTATGCAAATGGGAGACATTTTACATTTACAACAGAGCTGAAATATACTATCGAAGGTGAATGGTATAAAACCGACCCCACCCTTTGTCAAAAACTCGTTTCATCCATGAAAACAAGAATATTTGAAGTAATTCGAAGAAATGGCTCCTACACAACCTTCTAAGAATTTGTAATTTTTTTCTTATATGTTATTTTCTATATTGGCCTTAAAGTTTTTGCTCAGGCTCAAATATTCATCTGTGTGTTCTGCAATATTTTCTAATAATAAAATATCTGCAAATTAATTTTTTACTTTTATTTAAGCTCAATAATTATCAATCAAATGGTATTTTAATTCCTCAGTTTAAATGTTTCCATTTTCTCAAAAAAATTTACTGGCCTTAAAGTTTTTACTCAGATTTTATAAAAATTACGCATTAATAATTTTGTAACTCAGAATGTCTACGTTCGTTGTCCAATAATATCTAGTATAACTTTTGACCCGGAAAAAATACAATGTGAAAGAATTATTAATTATAATGAATGTGGTTTATTTGCATTTATTTACTCACATTTTTAGTACGATTTTAAATCTCTAAATGGAGCTAATTACTCCATGCGTCTTCTTTAGTTGTATGTTGTTCTTGACGTTAGTGAAAGGTATAATTTTGGCATAAAAACGTTTCTTATTTTGGAAGAATACCATTTAGACATCCATAAAATTTCAGGTAGTCGTGTGTTATAACTGAAAGCTTCAGATCTTGCTCACTTTTAATATTATTTAACATATCTCAGTATATTGTTTTCGGTTCTGTCGGTTCTTCACCGTCATGGTTGGTTTGGTTTATTTGATTATGACAAAGCTTTCGAGGTCTATCTGACTAAGGGGAAGGATACTTTCATGTAGTTCTTTCTAACAGAAACTGGCTCATATACACCTTACACATGAAACCACGAAAACGTTGATGCAGCCAGCCCGTTCGCCAGGATTCGAATCCCGGGCCGAAGTACTGGTGTTCAGCGACTAAATCTTCAGACTGTGATATGCAAAACAGAAATACATCTGAGAATAGCAGTGAAAGTGCAATTAACACGGGTAATAACTTAATGAATAGCCTAAGACCGAAATTAATTCTGAAATTAAATTTATAAAACTTTAATTGTTATAAGATTAATTTGTGTATATAACTTGTACGTAGTGTAAATATATGTTTCTTTATTTTATTTGTTTATTTCTTTACCGTTTGCTTGTATGGAATTTGGCTTTTGACCAAGGATTGAAGTGCCCCAGACGCGCAGTGTTACGAAATGCTCAGCTGAGGTAAGATAGCTTTCCCTCAAAGCGGGTTAAGGTTTGCCAGAAAATTGCAAGAAAGACAGGGTTGGGTTGCCAGATTTAGCACGAAATCGCCCGTCTGGCGACAAAAATGGAGATATAGTATAGAAAGAGCAATAACATTCTTAAACGAATTCTTACCAGCTTTCCCCAGAATGTTCTCAAAGACAGGTCAAAAGCGATATAAACCCTGACTGTACTCGGAGTAATATTGAGTGTATCGTGAAAGTATCTTGAGTTAAAAGATAAGCTTAAGAGCGATCGAACGAGTCGGAAACTGTAATTTGTGCTTTGCCGTGAAGTTGTCTTCACCGCTACAGCCTGATAGCTGTGCTGCTCATTGTTCCAGCGTGTTCATGGTAATTTTTCGACGGCTGTAAAAATGTCTTTGAAACGAATGAATTGTGTTTTGGATTCTTCATAAAGTGTTTTCATCAATCAGTTTAAGTCCATGAACTCGTAAAACGCAACACTATGCTATATGTCACTCATATGCCATAATGGTAAGAGAAGTAATTATATGGATTTTTACTTAGCATGTAATTAAAACTGAACAGTTTTTATTTCATTCTATTATTTGATGCATATCTAATGTGTTCATATTCATCTGCAGGTAGAACAACAGTTAGCGAATATCTAACGCAATCTACAACTGTCACTGACTTTCATACACCGGAAAGTAAGTTTTAGTGTCAATGTTTTGCAATTTGCGTTTAAATGTTTTTTATTAAACGAATACGTAATTTTAACTGAATTATGAGGCCTTTAAAATTTGTAAAGCTCTGTTTCTCGGTATGGAATATGTATTATTTTTAAATGACATTATCTATACTACGATGTTGTAAATTATATATAATTGTTAAATTTGAGTATATTATGCTTTTTATTTTGCTATCTCTGTTTGGCAGCCTACTTATTTTTTCTGCATTTCTAACAAAATCAAGCATATTATTTCAAAGTTCTTTGAAAAAAACTATTCAGTTTCGAAACATTTTTATTTTCTTATGCGAAATACAGGAAGAATTGTAATTTCGAAAAATTTCGGTTATCATATTTCAACGAAAATATCCATTTTAGCAGCTCTCGAATACATTTGAACGTTGTTTTTGCGTGGCATCTGTAATTATGGGAAGATAAAGTATTTCTTTTCCCGAAAGGGATTATAAAATGGATTTAAAATGAGTTTAGAAGAATTTTTTCCGTAACGTCTGTAGAAACGTCTGGATGTATGTATCTCACATAACTCAAAAACGAGTAGACTCAAAAAGGTGAAATTTTGTATATGGGACTACTATAATATCTAGCTTTGCAACTCCATTTTTGGCCACAATCAGCCGCAACAACGTGGATATGTATATCCACGCTGTTACCCAGCTCGGTGAGCTCAGGTTTTCTAAACTGATTTATTGATAAATTGTGCATTTTTTTTTGCTTAAAAGTGATATAATTATGTTGGTCTTACGTTCCGGTTAAAGTTATTATGTCTTTAGTTAATCTGCATGCAGTAGTTGTAGAATTATCAACTATTTAAAAGTTGTTTAAGTTCTACTAAGCCTAAGAAAGTCGCTATTTGTTTTCATTTGCAACTTTCAGTAGCATACGAATTTAGTTTCTGCACCAACTTCAGAGTCTTTTTTAGCAAGCTTTCATGTTTGTGCACTCAAAAATCTGTCTGCTTGCCTGCTGGCCGAATTGCTTGTTTTTGCTTAGAAATTCTAATTTTAATTGTAAAGTTTTTTTAACTGTATTTGGTGTTTCATGTTTTTATGTATTTTACAATTTTTAATGAAAATGTTTAATGTATTTTCGCCCTGCCGAGAATTGAGAACTGAATTATTTGAATGAGAAACATATCTCTAATAAAATCCGAGGAAATGCGTTAACATGAAATGCAGCAAAATATGTGTATAATTTAATAAACCATACAAGGAAGTCATCTGGTGTCCACATTAGATTTTTTAATTATAGTTTTAAAATGACAAGAAACATTTTTACTAACGGTCAATTTTTTTAATCTCCTTTTACTGCTGAAGGTTTTTTTTTCCTTAAAGGATAACTGCCAAATATTCAGCCATTTTTATCGCGCATATCTCTAATATCCATTCTTACTTTAATGCATATATCACATTAATGTGTTGAGAATAATCTTGAAATATCCTATGGAAAACTTTATCCATTTTTCTTGTAACGACAAATCAGATTTTTATGTTACTAGTACAAAATTCATGAACTTGATCAATTCCGATACTGACAGAATTTCTACAAGCTACAGATTTAGATAAAATCAGGGAACTTTACGCAACCCTTATATCATCTTACAGCCTTTCTAACCCTCAAACTTTGTGGGATAAGTACAAGGAGGACATGGTGGAAGATATTTTGTGGCGACTGCAATGCACAATATAACTTAATGAGCACATCTATAACAAAGCACTGATCATAATTGAAAACAAGGTTTTGACAAGGGTGGGGGAAGAAGCTTCATGATTTTGGAATGCTTAGTCCACGACGATCAGACGAAAATTATTTTAATGACGAAATTTCTAGAGAATTAGATTACAATTGTGGGGAAAGGCAACGACCATAGTTGATAACACACATTTATTACTATTTACAAATATAGATTACATTAGGATTACAATTAATGAAAATGGTATACGAGCGATCGAGCAACGTCTGCTCCGCTCGCCAGCTAATCCTCGTCCTCTTCCGAAGGCGGAAAACACATGCTGACGCAATGCATACGTCATACAGTAGGGGATTAGGGAATATCATGACATAACGTTTCCCACATTCGGCCATCATGACCGGACAGGCGACCTCGCCTGAAGCAACATAGTATATCATCAAATTAAAAAAAAATATTATAATATAGTAACATAGGTATGGAAAAAATAATCTGTAGATACAAAGCTGAGGATACTTACACAAATGGAGCAAAAAAATAGTTTAAACACACCACAGCAGTTAACTAAAAATAAAAAGAACATTAGTATGACAAAATGAATTTAAAAGTTGATATGAGGAAAAAAATTATTAGAAAGTTCTCAGGTGTCATCTGTCCAAACACAGGAGGACCTATAATGCTGACAGTTTAATAAAAATTAAGTGATACGTTCAATATTGTTGGACCAGGGTTTCATGTATTCAGCACAAGTAGATGTTTTGGATGGTCCGTCGAAAAATGCACACTTTTCCACATCATATGTGTCATTTTGTTTGAGCCTGGTGACTTTATAAGGTCCGAGAAATTTCTTTCTGTTTGAGTTTTAGACCAGGGCCAAACTGAATTCGTTTGATAGCCACGAGGTCATGAAGTTGAAATTTTTGTGCCTGTTTTCGTCGCAAATTATAAGTACGGCGATTTTCGTCTTGCACTTTAGAGATTTGCTGTTGTGCGTCCTTACGGAGATCATCGTCACGTTGCTGAATGAATGCAGATTTGATCTCCTCGTCGATTAGAGCAGCGATGTTTATGTCGTTTTGCGATTTCATTTTAGTCCCAAAGAGAAGTTCAAAGGGAGTAGAATTGATGCTACGTTGAAAAGTTGAATTAATAATTTGTGTTGCACGGCGGGAACATGGCGGTACCATTGCTCAGGGTTGGTTATGGAGAGTTTAGAAAGGACAGCAATAATAATGGAGTTCAAACGCTCAACTTGACCGTTCGATCGTGGGAGGCCAGCTGTAATAAGAACGTGCTTTATTCTCTGTGTGTCACAATAGTTTGCAAATGCAGTGGATTTGAATGCAGGGCCTCGATCAGAGATAATCCGTGAAGGATTTCCGAAGACTGATCTTTGAGATTCCAGCCGACTGATAACTTCATCTGCGTCTGTAGACTTTGTCGGATAAAGCCACACGAATTTAGTAAACGAGTCTATAACTGCCAAAATATGTTTGTATTTCTTTGATGTGGTGGCAAGGGGACCTAAGTGGTCGATATGGTACGTGTGCAAGGGTGCGTCGTCTTTGTCAATGGGGTGCAGAAGTCCGTCTTGTTGCCTCGCTTTCGATTATTGAGGATGCATGGGATGCAGTTATGGATACACCGCTCAATTTTTCTTTCAGATTTGGGATAAAATATTCGTTGTTTAAAAGTTCTTGAGTGCGGATTACGGCGAAGTGGCCTCGTTCGTGAGCTGTTTTAATGACATTTGCCTGCATATTCTCAGGCACCACAAGTAAGTCAATGCCGTTGACGTTTTTGTACAGGAGATTGTTCTTAACGAGAAAGTTATCATACGAAGGCGTCGTTTGAAGGAGTGCTTTAATAGCCGTAATATGCTCGTCGGTTTCTTGTGCTTTGCGAAATTGGAGAAGGACACTGTCTTGGATAGTCATGCAACATGGACTGCGACTGAGGGCATCCACGTGAGCCATCTTTGAGCCGGTACGGTGCTCAATTTCGTAGTCAAAATCTTGGAGATATAAAACCCATCGGGCTATTCTCGAATTGAGTTCCTTTTTATTTAAAGTTTGCACAAAAGCGTTGCAGTCAGTGATAATTTTAAAATGTGAACCAAGGACGTAAATACGGAACTTTTCTAAAGCTTCAACAATTGCAAGGACTTCGAGTTCATAACTGGTGTATTTACGCTCATTGTCCGATGTTTTCTTTGACATGTAGTAGACAGGGTGAAAGCTGTTATCGTTCATAGATTTTTGTAGTAGGACTGCCCCCAAGCCATCAATGGATGTGTCGGTATGAATTTCGATAGGACTCTTTTGATTAAAAATACTTAAAACTGGTTGTTGAGAAAGCAAATATTTTAACCTGTGAAATGCGGCTTTCTGATCAGCATGAAATTGAAAGGGGGTGTCCTTACGAAGGAGATCACTAAGGGGTTTTGCAATGCTAGAATATGAGGGGATGAATTTCCTAAAATATCCCGTGAGACCGAGAAAGCGTTGGACGTCTTTCGTACTCTTAGGTTCGGGGTAGTTAATTACAGATTTTGTTTTCGAAGGGGAAGGAAAAAGTTTACCACCTTCAACGATATGTCCAAGAAATTCGATTTTTTTGTGAAGAAATTGACATTTACGAAAATTAACTTCTAGACCATATTCACTAGCAACTTTGAGTACTTGGTTGAGACGATGAATGGCCTCATTTTTTCATTTTTGGCTGGAATAACTACATCGTCCATGTAGGGTAAAACATAACCTTTGACAATTAAATCACGAAAAACATAATTTATAAAGCGCTGGAATACTGAAGGGCAATTTGAAAGACCAAATGGCATTCGAAGAAACTGGAATTTGTCCGTTGTGAGTTACAAAAGCTGTATATGGTTTACTTTCGTCCGCTACTGGCACATGAAAAAAGCCGTTACGTAGGTCAAGAGTACTAAAAATTTGGGCGTCTTGCGAAGTTTATCCAAAATGTCATCAATAAGAGGAAGAGGAAAATGATCCTTAATTAAAAGTCGATTAAGTTTCCTATAATCGATGCAAACACGGGGTGTACCATCTTTTTTACGCACCACGAGAACTTGACTGGCATATGGAGATGAACAAGGTTCAATAATTTTAAGTTTCAACCATTCATTTATTTGTTTGTCAACAATTTCCCGTTCAACAAAAGGAAGGCGTCTAGGAGGGTGAAAAATCGGTTTATCATCGGATAGAGTGATATTAAGTTTAATATCTGTCGTCTTTGTTTTATTTGGGACATAA